TGGGCCTAAATTCCGTACACGATTACCGACGACCATCGATACGTTAACGACGTTTGCGCAGCTTTTTCTACATGATAGAAAAGCTGCGCAAACGTCGTTAACGTATCGATGGTCGTCGGTAATCGTGTACGGAATTTAGGCCCAGCGCTTTGACGCTGCATGAAATGGCACCTTAATGGCTGTGTTCTGCCGAAGTTAGCTAAGAATAAGCGCTTTATGCTGATTGGATAGATCTAGAAGAATAGCTCTATTTCAGCACAGATCTGAAAGTATAATCCAATGAACGCAAAGCGCTTAGCAAGCGCAAACTTCTGCTGGACACAGGCAATGCCTCAGTTTAGCTGAGTTTAGCTACAGAGCCTCAAAGATCGATGAAATTAGTCTCAACGATAGACATGATATTAGCGTATGTGTATTCTATACGTTTAAATATTTAACCAGATATACATGTATGTAGATACTTGGCGGGTAGGAAAAGAATGACATAACCAAAGGAGGCGGAGTTACATGGAAGCGAGAACCAAGAGATTGTTTCCCTTCGACGAGGATTTTGTCGCGAACGACCGAGGGAAAAAATTTCAAGCACTTGCCAGTGAAATGCGGAGCAGTGTTAACGGCATGTCTGAAAAGAACTTAATAAAACGTGCCACAGTGCATTCGCCGGAGGCCTCTAAACGCGCCTCGCTCGTCGACAAGATGAGACCGACGAGTATCGCGGCTTACGTGGGGCAGAAGCAAATCATTGGCCCGGGCACTGTTCTGCGCCACTTGTTAGAAAAAGGAGAGATTCCTAGCATGATATTCTGGGGCCCGCCTGGCTGTGGAAAAGTCAGTTTCAATATTTTGCTGTCACATCTAATGGGTTGTTAAGAATTTTTAATACTTGATAAGGACCAGTATTACTGGTCGAAACGTTGTATGTTTTAAACGAAATATATTGTGCCAGTTAATTGTCGACGTTATCCTTATTATTTGTTCAATATTTATCTTAGTACACCTGCTTTGCAATAATCATCTGCACTGTATGTTTTAGACTTCCTTGACAAACGTAATGGAGTGTTTAAGCAGAGAATTAACGAACGACAGTGTGCACACTGTGAATCTGTCTGCGGCCAGTTGCGGCGTAAAAAGTATAAGGGATGCTGTTGCCGTGGCGAAGAGGAAATCAAACTTCGGATGCAAGACCATTGTCTTCATGGACGAAATTCATTGCTTCAATAAACTCCAGCAAGATATATTCCTGCCACACGTAGAGGCGGGAACGTTTACTTTAATCGGCTGCACCACCGAAAATCCGTCGTACAGTCTAAATCCAGCTCTGCTTAGTCGCTGTCGCGTGTTTGTGTTAAATAAATTAACGAGCTGCAATGTAACGGAGATCCTTCATAGGGCGATAGAGCGCATAAACGGTAGCGCGTTTGACGCGAAAGAAGAAGGACGGGCAAACGGCAGAGAGCAGATTAAATTTCACTCCAACGCAAAACGTAAATTTCACGTTGATGAGAACGCGGTGCGGTGGCTCGCGGGAGCATGCGATGGCGATGCACGCGTAGCTCTGAACGCTCTGGAATTAGCAACGCTCGCGAAGCAAGCGGACGAATCGAGAGCATCACACAGTATAGCAATAAATCTGAAAGATGTTAAAGAAGGTCTGGTAAAATCGCATACGCTCTCTGAGAAAGAAACCAATCAGAGTTACCACATGTACTCCGCGCTTCATAAATCAATAAGAGCCGGCAAGGCAAACGCCTCCCTGTATTGGATGGCAAGGATTATGGCAGCCAAGGAAGATCCGGTGAACATAGCGAGACGGCTAGTAAGAATCTCCAGCGAAGACATTGGTCTGGCGGATCCGGACGCTCTGGGTAAAGAAATGACATTTATTGCTCGTAGTGTATACAGTACTCTCTGAAAGTCAATCGGTGGATTGTCGCTGAAAACAGTGAATAGTCTCCGATTTGCAGTTGTAAGTAAACCACTCCGATTTTCAGTGGTACGCTTGTAACTGCAAATCAGTGACTATTCACTGGTATCAGTGATAATCCACCGATTGACTTTTAGAGAGTACCGGGCAAAATTATGGGCGTTTTCCAGCAAGGACACAGTGATTCGTTTCATCCTTGTTTAACATTGGCAAACAAGGATGTAATGATTCAGTGTTACACTGTGTCACATTGTGTCCTTGCTGGAAAACGCTCTATATCACCTTTCGATTTCTTGAGCATAATTATAATAGTTTTAAAGTGCACGAATGAAAAGAGTTCGAAAATCACGGTGTATTTTGTCAAATTTCATTACCCCGCGTGCACAAGATGCACCTGTTATCAGGTATCTACTGTGAAATTTGGGAGACACTCGATGCACCTTGACGAAAGTTATGCTTACGAAATCTAAAGGTGATATAATTTTGGCCGGTACTGTATGTGCCGTGTGTATAAACTAAAGCGTTTTAATAATCCAGGCGTGGCAGTTCATACGATGCACGGCTGTCAAATGATTGGCATGCCAGAGTGTGACGTGCTCTTGGGACAATGCACGGTTTACTTGGCGAAAGCACCGAAGTCTCGGTCGATATACAATGCGCTAAAAGCAGCTGAGAAAATGATTTTGGAATGTGAAGGTCCGCAACCTGCCCTGCCAACGCACACGAGATGCAACTCGGCAGATACAAAAATATAATAAAGTTTACTTTCGTTGTTCACTTAATCATTACGAATTTGTAGTCTTTTATAAAAAAAAAACTGTTACCCTTTTTGTACAGCAGTAGTTTAATAAACCAAAATGGATTTATAATTTATAGAATTGCAGCGCATCGGTAACGTTAAAGAAAAGCAGAGCTCGTAAATAATTAAGGCTTACATTACACGTCCACTTTTGTCATTACACTTGTATCCACTTGGTTGAAGAAACCTTCAAGTTCCAACACTTACGCAAATAAGCTTAAAATCGATCCCTATTCTAACTTTAAATTAACTCATTGAAATTGTCAAGCTGAGCAAACCTGATCGATGCATTCGTCACTTGTCATAATTAAATTAATAATTAATCAATTCTTTAACTTCAATCAACCTCATATTCGCGAGCCTGTAATCTCTCTCGGCGCATGACGGACGATTAACGATAGATGTCTGCAAACTGCCGCTACAAGTGCTTCGAAGAATTCTTCTTTTCCTTTCTTTCAATAAAGGTAAAAGGAGGAAAGAAACGCTTCGGAGCATTCGTAGCGGCAGCTTGACCGCGGCCGATTGCGTATAGATTTGATATTAGCGCGTCATTGCCACGCGATGCGATCGACCAATGACGCAAGTTACCACGTGCGAAGCGGCGGCCATTGGCTGACGTCGCTCTTGTGGAGCGAATGCCAGTACACGCCGTGGTACTGTGGACTGTCGTACGCATCACGCTCGGTCTAGATATATTATGTCTGTGGTCGTACGCTTGCGCTCGCTCCCACTTATATCACACACACCTACGAAGACGGCCTGACGCACGACGGACGCCCGACATCACCGCGTCAGCCGTTCAGCTCACGTGTCGCACGTCGTTCAAGTCGCAGCGCTCGCCCTACATGCAGTGTCGCTCGCCCTATCCGTAACGCTATGAAAATCTGGACGTCAGAGCACACCTTCGAGTGAGTACGAGACGCTTCCGCGGACGAGAGGCTCGCCGGACGTCGCGCGCTCCTCCGCTTCTCGACGCGATTGCCCTCGCGCGATTTGCCATCCTCGATCTGTCTCTCTAGACCGCGATTCGCGGTCACGCTACGCGCCCTTGTTACATAACCTCGTTGAACATCTCCAAAAACGGGCAACTTCCTATCGGCGGTGCAACGAGTGCCGTAACGCGGATTACATCCGCGGCGCGAAGCGTCCGTCTATCCTTACCCAACCTTGTGTTACTTGACTTTGAAAAATCCGCAGAGCATTTTATCAAAACGCGAACGAGAACGGGGTGAAACGGCCCGTCGATCTCCGTCACGGTCAGCTCGACCTAACCTCATTTCCGCGAGTGGAATTTTCTCTTTTCGTTTATCACCGGCGCGACTTGTTCGCGGACGATAGCCAGGCTGACACATTTTATTTTCAGTCATCCCTGGGAGACGGTAGCGCAGGCCGCATGGAGAAAGTATCCAAATCCTATGGTGCCTTCGGTCATTGGGGCGGACGTAATCGACAGAACGGTGGTCAACGGTGTCCTCCATACCCACAGACTCGTCGTTTCTACCCAATGGGGCTTTCCTAAATGGACGCAAGCGGTAAGCCTTAACGACTTTCCCACGTGCTAACGCACTGGCGCGCGCTCGATATCGCTCTCTGGCTCTAACCTTACCTCTGACTCTTAATCTCCGATCGGTACTATCAAAATTGCACGCGATTGCGTCAGGTTTCGCGATACGCTGCGAGTAATACTCGAATAAATCACCCGGTAAAGTTATCCTTTTGCATTAAATTTTTATATGCGATATATATGACTGGTATATAATAAAATACCTTGAAACATTAGATGTAATGAAAGACACTTTTGTATGAAATTGTAAGAAATAGTTTTTGTCACGTGACATTTCACGATCCATTTCTCCCTAATTTTTTTTTATACCTACTATCTGTCATTTCTCAAACTGATATTGTCGAACCTGACGACATTGACGACATGATGTCATTGTCAGCCGTTGTGTGTAGTTATCATGTTTTTGAATTACTATCTATCTACTTATTGATATCGACATTGTTATACGTAGCTTCACTTTAGTCTTTACAGCTTTATCGCCTGAATGAGGTCGCTCCACGGCCAGAATGTGGCCTTCTATAAACACGAAAGAAAGGCACCGACGCTGTGCTGGAGGATGGAATATGCTATAGTATCTCGTAAAGCGATTTGCGTAGATTATACCCTTTAATCCATAAGTGCGCAGCTTTACATATGCAGGGCGACTTTTATTTTTTATGCGCAGCTTTGCCGAAGCTTGCAAACGCGTGAAAGTAGGTTACATTAAGGAAGAATTTTTAAAATCTTTTCTTAGGATTCTTATTTAATTATCTAACAAATGCTTCTGTGAAAGAATTCTGTGAAAGAGCTGCGCGTTTAAGGGTTAAATACCGATCTGGATTCTCTGACTTAAAGATTAGATAGTTTCGGTTTCTCAGAAAATACATCTCGATCGAGAGGCTACTATTTATATAACTTATCTAGAGGCACCTTAAACATACAGTCATATCCGGAGGCTCGAATTTCTAAAGGGTTAATCGAATAGGTCTTAATTTGTACACTGACAAAAAAATATCTTAATCCAAAAAAATATTACTTTACTCGAGAAAATTATTCGTTAGGTGGCTCCTAATAGCTAATTCACTTAAATTAAAAAAATTAAATTAAAACATGCATTGCTTTAATTCAAGTATTTATTAAATATCAAAGAATAGATAATTTTAAATTAAAAAAATCTTATTTTAATTCTATAAAATGTTTACTAAGATGTGTCATTTTTACAGCGAAGAAAATTGGATTTATTTATCAGACACAATTATTTCATTTAATAAATACTATTCTATATTTCATTAAATCTTTATTTGAATGTAGAAAATATAATGCTTTAAATTAATTTACTTAATATAATACACAGATTTACTTGAAATTTGATATTTTTCTTTAAATAGAATAAATATTTACTTCAGTATGAAAAAATTATTTTGAGTAAATCTATTTACTTAATTAAAAAACATTTTTTTGCCAGTGTATTGCACAGTGATGGATAGAATGTGAATACCTTTTCTTATTTAGGGACGTGCAATTAGATCAAGGGTTACGTTTAAAAAGCTTCCCCAGGAATAGTTTATTCGATGGCCATTCCGAAACCATTTCGAGCGTTTCCGATCTATCTCTCGAGTTCCTCAACTCAAAAAAAAAGTGTCGCGATTACTCTGTCTATCGCTACACATGCCTTATCTATAAAGATGTGTTTCATGCTGGTCTAATGGACTACTAAGCCGCTATTTTGTGCCGTAATTCGTTTCGTAATTACTCGTACTTAACCAGTTAACAATGAGAGATTACACTCCATTTGTACGACCTGGTAAAGAATCTTCCTGTTTATGTCGGAAAGTTACGTGCGCCGGTCACATGCCGTTGTAGAGAACATTCAGTCGCGTTCACCAGCACGTAAACCACGTGGATGGTAAACCGCGTGCAAGGTCGCCGCTCAGAACGACTTTACTGGTTGAGATACGCAGACCGGAGCTGATGGTAACTCTCCGTGAGAACTTATCGACAGCTTTTTCCAGTTAACGTGAAGGGACGCAAATGAAAAATGAGCTTTAGCTTTCGCTATTCTTTTTATCTAAACGTGAGTCATGTCCTTGTTTTTTTTTTAAGGCTGTATTACTCCACTTTTCCTCAAGCATTTATGGAGGAAAGTTCTACATGAGATAGCGGAGTTTCTGCTAAATTAATAGGCATCGTCTGTTGGTTCCACCATGAACTTGTTGCCCTTGGAGTGAAATCTGTTTGGTGGAAAATTGATTGTTAGATCGTGAAAACCTACTATGTCATATTAGACTCTTATCTCAATAGAGGACTTTTCTCCAAGTTTGTGATGTAAACATGAAATGTATATGCAAATGTAGCGATTGCCTGCGATATATTAAGCTCGGAAATGAGTTTGTTATGCTATAGTGATTGCGGAATCGGTGATTCCTGTGGGACTTATCTACAGTTCAGCCCATCGATTTTTTCGACGCGCTCTCGCGGCGGACGGATAAAACCGTTTCGTTTACGTAGAAACTTATCAGAACGACCTCTTCGAGACCTTCGCGACTCGGCCGCCAGTAACGCTTGAATAAGTTATCGACTCGCGCCGATTACTCGAAGACCCTCGCAATTTATTTTTTAAACTTCTTCGCCCGCGAAGTTCCGTAACTGTACTATTGCTGCATACTTGACGAGGAAGGGAGTCGGGACAACTTAGAATGGACACTTATAAATCTTACTAATTGGTCTTTTGTATACAAGTACGTTCAATTGTATCTTTAAACACGTAGACCTCTTAACTTCCAATTTTCTTATTTCAACAACTGAATAAATTTTTTAGATTAATGTAAGTTTTGAAATTATGCCACTACTTCTGCATGTGCCATTAAAATGCACCTCGGAAGGTGCGATAATATTGATATGCATATTTTTAGAATTTCTGGCTTTAACATCTAAAATGGAGCATAGCACGTTTACATTAGAACTCGAAACTTTTCTATAGTTATAATTTGGTGAGAAAGTGAACTTCGGACGCAGCGGCAGATGTTGCGACACGATTAGCTATTTACGATTACGCAAGCGGCCTGCTAGTTGACGTTTGACTTCTCAGTGAAATCTTGCGTAAAGAGTTGTTAACGTGACGTACACAGCAATACTTTAGAGTTGAACGTATAGAGATCCACGACGAGATTTTGCTTTCTTTTAAATTATATAACTTCGTCCCTGATTTATTTTTATTGGTTTGTACGGAGTGTACTCGATATGTGAATTCTTTTCACGTAAAGAAACGCAATTTTTAGACGTTACTTTTGAAAAACACAAAAGTTGATGATAACTCATCGATTAATTCCCACTGTCCTATCTTCTCTTTTATATGTGGCATAATTACTTTTTAGAGAAACGACATCGTTATATTTGCAGCTGTCTTATTTCTGTTATCCATAAAAAAAATAAGTAAAATTGCACTTTGACGCGTAATTTCATCGATTGGCGCAGCTCTTTCACGGTTGTTCGCACAGTAAAATTGACGCTGCGCCGATCTCCGGCGGGCGGCAAGAAATCAATCCATGAAGCGACCCAACGGAATCATTCACCTCTTTCTGGTATCGCCCGTGGCGCGTGAGCAAAAACCCCGCGCCATTCATCCCGGTCGAGCAATCTCCGCCGGCGCGCCGCGGCATCGCGGAGACCCGGAAATTCGAAACTTTCGACAAACGTGCGCAAAAAGAAGGTGCCGGGGACCCGGGGAATTGCAAAACAACATCCGCGCTGGCGGATCAACTTTGATAATGAGCACCGCTCAATGTTACGCCGTCTGGCAATCGTCCAGCCAGACGCGTCCGCCTTCTGGAACACTCGGGCGGACCCTCTCTGCTCTCCCGGATTCCCAATCCCTCGCTATCCCACGGTGCCTTCGCCGGGATGCTGGAGATTCCGGGGCGTCGAATCCCTTTCGGCCCCGGCGAATCGCTTCCTCTCGTCAGATTTTCTATAAGCACGGCCATTCCGCCGGGCCGTTTCGTTGTGCTACCGTTCGTTCGAATGGTATCGTATATAAGGTGTTCGAAAAACGATAGAGATAAAGAAATCGTCCGTACAGACGACGATAAGAATTCCTTACGAGAGATTTATTTGACGAAATCAATGACGGATTTCACCGTCGCGTGTTTTCCTGTTTTGACATTATTTTTCGGTAAACAATGTGTGTCTGTCAAATGAAATAATTAAATCGAGCAAACGATGACTGATACGAATTAGGAAAAAGCTGTCGATTTTGTGAAAAGTATAAAAATCGAATACAATTTACGTTGAAGAATTAAAGAGCACTGGGACACCGACGTCAGGCCAGGATGTTCAAAAGTTTAATGTAGCGCGGATATCGAGCGAACGATATCGAATGCAGTGGCTGCATTTCGTCGGATATTCCGTATACAATAATTGCCGCGGGAACTTGCCGGACTTACGGGATCAGATACGCTTGAAATTATTTAACGATTGGAAAAGTGCGAAGGACCATTTCGGGCTCGCGATGCTTTCGTCGGTGCCATTTTCAACATTACGCTCCAGATACTGCACCCGCCATTGCGCTATCCGAGTAATTAGCGGATGCACTCGACAACGCGCTCTGGAAAAAAAGTACGCGAGAAAAGTTCACTTATCGCGCTCGTTCGCGCGAAACGCTCGAATTGGCGGCAGAGGGCTCGTATAAGCAAGCCGGTTTATTCGAGCGACTAATTAGAATATGCATAATTAATCGGCGAGGAACAATAATTAAAGTGTACTTAGCGTGCCGGTTTAATTAGCGCCTTTCTAATTACCTAATTACTCATGCTAATTTGTTATTAATATCGCGCCACCGCGGAAACTTACGCCGTGCTGTTTCTTCTCGGGCGAAGCAGACGACTCGGATTGTCAGTTTACGACTTGGAATTATTCCTCGCCGCTGATCGTTTCTGATGATTGCCGGTAGACGCAAGTGTTCGCCGATGCGTTAAACTGTGCTGCCAGCGTGCGTGAGAAAATTTTCGAGATAAAATTGGTTGATCGATCGTTTGTCACTGGGATGACTCTTATTTTTATTTGACAACATTTTATGATTAATCCCTTTCGGCTCAGTGTCTTTCCATGAAAAAGTGCCGGTTCGTTATGATTGATGATTTTTTATAGGCTTGCCGGTTTTAGCGAGATCGAGGGCTAAGATATATATTTTTTTACAACGACGAAATAAACGGTATCATAAATTTAGGGTATTTGTTATGCTTCTCATGTAGCTGCGAGGGCAGAATAATGCAAACCGTTCGCTATAGGTGGTTAAATTAATTACCGTGCACGCCTTCTGACGTAGAACCAATTAATAATCGCTTATCGCTTTCTATAGAGTCCAACGCTATTCGTGTAAATGTTGCTTTGTTTGTTTAATTCGCCTTGTGTACGTATAACATGCTGATACGAGTACATAGTGTATTTCCATAAAGGCCCATAGTGTATTTCCATAAAGGCTTTCTGATATTGAGCGTGACTGCTACTGTAATTTCTGAAAGTGATATCTTATTAACGCTATCTGTAATGTATCAATAACAGCCAGCGAAATAATTTAATAATTATGATTTGTATATTATTATGAGGGCTGTTTGCGCTTGATAGATTATTAGATTTATACATCAGGGTGACAAGTTACTGAAATCAATCCTGTATGCAAAGTTGTCATGCATCAATTCTAAGCTAATTTTATTTAATCTATCATATCACGTTGTGTAAATAATTTGACGAACTACCGCGATTTTGTTGCATTTCTTCTATTTTTTTCGCTCTGCCGAGCTACGAAAAGTCGTGAAATCGAGCCGAAGTAGCTCTCGAAGACTGCGAGACATGCCATTGAAGTTTTGGAACGCTTTATCGTTGAATTCAACGCGGAAAGTTTGAAACCGGAAGTGCTTGTCTATAGCACTTCCGAGGTTTTTATCGGCGGCCAAATCGGTTTTTAGCAGTTTGCCGGTCAATTCTCGCCGTAACTGCATTTAAATGATTCGAATTTCTTTTTACACGGACAGGACTTTTACGTTGCTGCCAAAGGCTTATTATGCGATCGCACGTTTTCTTTTTTATTTTTACAGTTAATCGGCTACGCGAACTTGTGTTATGCCAGCGAACGCAGCGAGGTCGATCCTGTGAATAGAGACATGATCCTCAGGACGCATAACGTAAGTATCTGCTCTTTGTTCGAAAATAATTTGAGAAACCGTTGTGCTGCTTCCTCGCGATGCACGAGCGTGATGTATCATGCAATTTACAATACACTCTTTGCATCGCAGAATGTGCATGTAGCTACAGTGTGTATAGCTACATGTTATCCGTAATGAAAGAAAGGTTTCTCAGCATATGTAATTGAAACTAGCTTTTGACATCTCATATTAATAATTTCATGTTAGAAAAGCGGTTTTGCGTTGCTGAAATAAAACTTTTCTCTCGCACGAGTCGATGTCCCTCGCGAAAAGCACGTATTGCGTGATGCGAGAACATTCGCATGCTGATCGCAAAAATGATATCTCTAAACGTGACCCAACATCTCCGATGATGCTTCCGGTGTGCGTAGACTACCGCGGATTCGAAATATTCATCAGCACGGGGCGCATGCATCGCTTAATTAGAATTGTATAAATCTGCTACTCACGCCGTTTTGATTGAACTTCCAAATGGAGAACAGAACCTTCCCTCGCCAGATCTACCTATATGTAATTGTGCATTCGATACGTTTCGACGTTTGCTATTCAATTACGATCCTAAATTAGATGCGGAACAGGCATCATACCGAAATGACTTTTTGGCAGCTGGTGTTCGATTTCGCAATCTGGTCTATGCTGTTATATCATACACCGATAGTAAAATATGTATTATAGTATTTGAAACTATAATTGCATAGCAAAATAATTACAGTCGGGAATATAATTTTTATAGTAATTATTACTATAATATTAGTAATAGCAACCATAATAGACACAGTGATGCAAAACTATATATAGCAAACTATTTAAAAAATTTACTATAAAATATAAGCTTTTAACTATCATTCTGTTAAAATATCCAGGCACTCATAAAGAATAGTAATCTTGTACGAATGCATAAACGTATTTATAACACCCTAAGCGGTTTTCTACTTACGAGAGAGTCTTGTACCGCGCGTCCCTCTAGTGAAGACATTCCGAACCACTTCACTTTTGTTTACCATGCGAATAGTAAAGTGGATGATAGAAATGTAGTTAAATTTACTATTATTGTACTTGCACCTACTATATAAAACTAATTAATTTAGTTACTATTCACCATCTTAATATTTTACCAGAATAATGGTTAAAACTTCATAAATAATAGTAAAATTTTTATGCTGGTTGGCATCACTATGACTATGTGGTTGTTATTACTAATATTATAGTGATAATTACTATAAAAATAATATTCCTGACCATAATTATTTTACTATGCAATTATAGTCGCGAATACTACGTACTTTTCTCCCTGTGTAGTGAACGCAATGTACAGGATGTCTCTAAATGATCCACGCAAATATCAGACGGACTTGCGTCACAATTGCCAAATTATTGCTGCTGGAATTGGACGTTCTCGATATTATTTCTACTTTTAATATTAAAAAAAAATTTTTTTATTCAGATTTCGAGATTAGCGCGCGTAAGTGATAGCATTAGCGATTTTACCGTAGATGCGTGCACCATTAGAAATGATATTCATCTCGTACTCGGCGGTCGGTTATCAACGGGAGCGTTGTGTCGAAACGCGTCGGCGATCGCATCGCGCACGGTTCCTCGTTTCTGTGATAACGAAGTGAGCATTTTTGGGCGATTTTTCGACCATAACGAAATTGCGAATGCGTCGCGGTCTCTGTTGCGAAATGGCACTTTAATAGAGTGTCGCCCGGAAAGAAAGAGAGAATGCCGGGCGGTCGCTCCATTAGCGCGTAATAAAAGCAGTTCTTCCCGCAACGTTGTTTCTCTTTACATATTTCGCTAGTGAAATGATGCAAATGTTATGAATAAATGGACTTCGTTTTGTAATGGTTTAAAGTTATTCCGCCGATTTATTGTTTCCACGTCCATTGAATCGTTGATATTTGAATTTACCGTACGACTTTTATGATATATATTACGTACATTGACGGTGAAATTGTATTTTATTTCTTTCCTCCAAGTTCTAGAAAGGAAAAATTGCTGGAAAATATGCACGAGATATTTTAGAGTAACGTCCCTTCAAATAGACTTCGTATCAACAACGAAAAACGTAATAAAGTAATACGATAAAAAAAAATACGTATACGTAATATAAAACATATTCAAATAGGCTAGATTGCTAGATCATGGGACGACTTTTCTCATTACGCTTTCTTGCCCCCGCATCGTGTAGATAGTTAAAAGTTGGTAGACGCGAATTGTTATTCCCCGCTCGCTTTGTAACGGGCAAGTTTGTCAAATTACGTTAAAGTCCGTCATGCCGCGTTCGTGACTGGAAAAGTCACTTGGAAATTTAATAATTTTCAATACTCTCTCGTAATACGCCGATTATAATAAAAAAAAAGTCGGCGACCTCTCCGCGCGGTTACGTCCGCTCGTACATGCAACACGTTTCGCCAGATGAAAGTGCGCCGGCGCGAAATCGCCGGATTTTTTCCGGGCCCGCTATCAGAAAACGATTTTCGAGCCCCGATTTACATAACATCCGTTCCAAGGAGTATGCATAGTAAAGACCCTCAGGAAAAGTATCTAGCTGCAAGCTCGAAGAGATCGACGCGTCTGAAAGTGGGGCGGGAGGAGGGCGAACGTGTCGACGGGGGGAGCTGATGCACGCCACCACCGCATCCAGAAGGTTGGATATGATAGGTTATTGATGCGCGCATTACCGCGGGGTTGCATAGCTCGGTGAGCTCCTCGGCGCGGGGTATATCAGGTGGGGTGTCAGGGAAACTGCGGTGGGATATGGCTGGCCGAGGGGGCTAAAGGGGAGGGGCACGCGGCATTGGTCGCGGGCTCTCTCGTTCGCGTCGAAGATCATCCCCTTCCCCTCCCTCCCCCGCTTCGTCGACGGAAAAGAGACCACCGAGAGAAACGCAGGGGTGGTAGATGCATTACTGGTATGATGAACGATCCGCAGGTGGCTTAAAGCAAAAGGAGGAAGAGGCCTCCCCTTCCCACGTCTACGAAGGAGCTGTTACGTCGACCTTTTATATCCATCGAGATTCCGCGTATGTATCCGCGCGAGTACATTATGTACCGACGATCGTACTTCGCACGCTCTCTCCCGATTCCGGCTAATTCGTACGAGAGGGTGCTTTTACCAAGTGGGGAGGCAATCGTCGGCCTGCTGAGCGATGTGCTCGCGCGGATAGCTGATGGGATGACTGAATAGGATGATCGAGCGATAGCAAATCGCCTTGCGAAGGTCGATGCAGCAATTCCATTAGCTAGCGCGATGCTTTAACGGCAATTCATTCATGTTCGTATTTATCGATACTCCACCGGTGCGAGCGCGATGAATTACAAGTTTATATTCAATCGTACAAGGAGAGAAACGGACGGACCGTGATTATTTACGCAAAGTGGCTAATAGATCCGCCATTTTTTTTTATATTTATATAGCGAAGTGGAACGGCGGGAACCGCGTTATTTCCCCGGCGCACACATCGGCGCACGTCGGGATGTAAAGGGTGATACATTAAATCGCATAAAAGCGGCAAACAGTGTACCGCTATTGTGCCGCACGCAAACCGATACAGGCAGGCAAAGACAAATCGCGGAGCGTCTGAAGTATTAATGCGGAAAGCCGTATACAACGCGGGATGCAGTCGCGCATGATCGATTCCGCTTCGAATCCGAAGGTGAATACCGCAGACGTCGTGCCACCGCAATAAATTTGCCTCTATCCGCTCATCGATCGTTTTACGGGGGAGCCCCCCCCCTCCCCCCCCAGGAGGGTGCAATCTTGCCACCTTTATTCGTGCCGATGCGTCACGTATAATATACGCACGGCTATCCCGCGGGTTCGCGGGCGTAAGACAAAGTACGTTATCGCGCGCACATTACGCCAAGTATCCAACAACTGCGAAACGAGGAAGGCAGGTGATTTAAGGAAGATCCCGGATACGCGCACGCCGCGTCACCGGGGAAATGCTCCGCGTGCGGCGTGCAGTTGATGCCTCGAATGAGACCGTCTCTCACTACACTTCGACCCCATCTTCCCCGCGGCGGAGTCATCTTTCGCGCTCGTGCTATCCCCCTCAACGAGAAGCGTCTCCGCAATTAAGGTTGCCGCCGAATCCCACGGAATGCACTGTTCATTTGCCGGCGTGCTGTCCCCGGGATTTCGTGCGCGACGCAGCACGAGGGCTAAGTTTTGAATCCCGCCATTTTGAATTATGAAAATCTGATAACGGATTCGTAATCTGCGACCCTAAAAATCCTTGTATACAAAGTTTCACAAAAAATGGTTCAATAGAAAAATGTATGCGTCAAAGGGTTGAAGTGAACGTTGCCAGAGACTTTCCTGAGGGTCGCCAGTTGTGTCTCAGCGCGAGATGCACGTATCATGGGATATTTACATCGCGCGATATCGTATTGCAAATTTATCATACCGGAATCCAGCGGGCGCACGCGTGGTACACGCCATTTGTTTCCTGCCACCATATATTTTTCTATAGATTACAGTCTGAAGCATGATTTTAAATTTATTTGTCAGTCTGTATATGCACGTACGTTCACACGCATACACCTCAGATCACACCAGCCTTATTAATCAATGTGCCAAAATTTAATAAGTCCTACTGTGGCCGTTGCGTCGGATAGACGTGCCCTCCAACATTACACGATCTAACAATGAATTTTCCACTAAACAGTCTTCACTCCAAGGGCAAAAAATTCATGGTGGAATCAACAGATGGTGTCTATTAATGTAGCAGAAACCCCGCTATCTCGTATTAGGAGCGTAGCACCTAATAGGGGACTTTCCTCTATTCAAGACGATATAAGAATTGACTGTAAACAAGTCTTAGCGTGCATTCAGTGCACTAGTGCAAGCGACCAAATTCGCCATTAATTAATTGACCTGATTTCGGCAAACATTGTGAACCAGTGCATCACAACACCTTATCCATTCGGTCAGTTAGCCACTCTATCACACTTTCTCAAGACATATCTTAAAG